GGAGGGGGGACAGGATGGGTCAACAGGCTGGACATTTATTCTCTATGTATCTTTAAATTTTCTAAAAGTTTATAATTATTTCAAAAATTACAAAAACAAAACGCAGGAGGCATAGGTCTTCCTGGTGCAGTAGTCCATGCATGAGCTAGCCTGCCAGAGCCAAGCAGAGCGCAGAAGGCTGAAGGATGGATCTAGAGGAACAAAGGAAAGGCATTATCTTATCCCTCAATGACCTCCGAAGGTCCATTTGCCCCTATGGCCTGTATGTGACCTCCACACTGACGATTTCTCATGGATTTGTATCTCGTGGCTCCTTCCCACACTCTTTCTTACATTCTCTCATAAATACATGTATTCTTCTGGGATAACTATGCCTCTCAGCCTCCTCAAATCCCACAGCTGACACTGGTATCTACGCAGATTTTATCACTAACTGAATTTTAGTCAGTCCCCAAACCTGAACATATAACCATTCCTGGACATTTCATATCATAGAATCATTTCAACCCAACATGTTAAAACTCAACTCAACACCTATTCCCGTCCCTACAGCAGGCACTGTTAACTGACTAGAAAGCTTTGCCCCATCCCACCCCCATTACATATCCTTCTAATAGAACCTCCTAGAAGCCAGATTTATGAAGTATAGCTGACCTCTTCCACAGTGCACCATTTTACCTCTAAGGTGCAAGAGCGGGCCTGGTTGTTTTAAACTGCTGTGCATGGTCTATTGCCTTGGCTACCAGCATCATTGTTTTAGAAGTGACCATGTGGCTTAAGCAGTACCTTCAGTGTGAATCCTAGGTCCTCTTTGACATACTGAAATAGAAGTATTCTCTTCATGAATAGAAACTAAGAGGCAAGTACCCTTTTTATCGTTTGATTCAGGTTTAGAATAGTGCCAACAACGAGAGTCAATTCTAAAATTAACTCACTATAAATAATTAAATGGGTCCTTAATAAACACTGGAATCAGGACCAGCAACCAGAAGCCCCCTTGAACTTCTCTCTTTTGATTATTTGGACCAATAAGTCCCCCACCCCTTTATATTTCAGTCAGTTAGAGTTCAATTTTCTCTTCCTTGCAGCACAATGCGTGGAGAGTAAAATTAAATATGGCGATGTTATGAAACTGGGAGGAAACAAAAAATGCAAACGAAGATAAAAATACCTTCTTAAAAAGAAAGGAAAGCACAAATATAGGAAAACAAAATATCAGACAGGCTTGCTTAAAGATAGCGGGCACTGACAGGAGAAAGGGGAAAGCTAGATTGTATAATATTTTGAAGATGCCATAACGCGATGAACTCAGGTTCAAGTGGCCCAGAGGCGACCAAGGAGGACTATGTGGGAAATCAGGCAGAGACCTGGGAACATCTGAGGGAGGAAACAAGAAAGCTAGGAATCTCAAATTTTGTAAAAATATGTGAAGACAGCTTTCATACCCGTGAAATTCTCAGGTATTTCACCTAATTAGAGTGCCTCCTACTGGCTCAAATAAATCTATGCAATCAGATTCCCATACCCGTGCCTTTTCTATGGGTTGGATTCTGTCCCAGAAAGTAGTGGTGCCCATTCCCGTTTGGGTATCTGCTAGCTACACTGAAACATCAGCAGTTTGGTAGCAGGAGAGAGGGCTGTGCTCATCTTGAGACAGAGACAGAATAGCTCTAAAGTCCTTGGTACCAAATGCTGATAGGATCACAGAGCCATGGGTCCTCCCAAGTCACCCGAGATAAAAATCTCCACTGCCTTGTAGACCTTTCACAGCCCCACCCCCCAAGCAATCTCCCACTTCTTCCTACTCATCAGGGTTGAAAATATGCCTGGAATTCAGTTCTTTCTTTTCACTTCCAAGGCCAAAAGCCCAAGGTCAGACCCTTATCTCCGCTTTCTACTACTACAATGGTCTCTTAACCAGCAGCTCTGGGTCTTAACTTTCTGCCTGTCCCATCCATCATTCACAGGATGACTGGCTCTTAAGAGAAAATAAAGACTGTATTTTACTCATCCTTTAGGATCTTCTTCCCCTCCTTTCTGTCCAGGCACTAAACTATTTGTATAAATTATTCCATGCATGCCATTTCTCCTTTAAAAAATCTCTGATGGCACCCATTCCTTTCAGAAAGAGTTCAAAGAGCATAGTCTGCAATCAGGTCATCAAGATGGCCAACTACATGACCCTTTCCTCCGCATCTGGGCACAATGAGCTGCCGCGTCTCCTGGTTCTCACAGCAGCGGGTCTTTGTAAGTGGCACGCTCTTCCTCTGTAAGAGTCACTGTCCCTTGATTCTGCTTATGAAACACCGATGGGAAATTCAAGGTTCCATTATCCTTTTCACCATGAAATCGTCTCCAGTACCACTTTCAGACTGAAGTTCTTTATCCTCTGCACACTCAGAGGATGCTCTTTATTCTTCCATTTTGGCATTTATATTACTTTCCCCAGTCTTATGCTAAATTTGGTGTCCATCCACCCAGTTTTTAAGACCTAATTCCTAGTAATGAACAAAGAGTATATTGTATAGCATTTTAACACGAGGTTGTCTTTCTTTTCTGTTATTTCTCTAGAACCGTGGTCGGCAAACTGCGGCTAGAGAGCCACATGCGGATCTTTGGCCCCTTGAGTGTGGCTCTTCCACAAAAACACCACGCCTGGGTGAGTCTATTTTGAAGAAGTGGCATTAGAAGAAGTCTAAGTTTAAAAAATTTGGCTCTCAAAAGAAATTTCAATCGTTGTACTGTTGATATTTGGCTCTGTTGACTAATGAGTTTGCCGACCACTGCTCTAGAAGATTAATTCTTACTTCCTCTGTATTTCACAAAGTATAAGAAGCACATACTACTTGCTCAGTAAGTATTTCTTGAGTAAGTAATTTCCTGATGAACTAACTGCTATCTGTGGACAGGTATTGGTGCCTTGCTCATCTGTATTTCTCACAATGACTAGAAAAAGCCGAGTAACAGATACTGCCTAGGCTGGCCTCCTGGCTTACTGAGCCATTTGTCTAAACCGAGGACAACTTGTCATTTCTCTATTCTAAAAAGATGTCTTGACTATCCTTTATATGCCAAATCTTATTCTAGGAGCTGGAGACAGAATTGCCAATAAGATAAACGACACAGATGTTGAAATGGAGGAAACAGTGTGTAACTAAAAAATCAGTCCTCACCACCACAAAAAAGTAATATTTTTTTCTTAATTCCTGCACTCAATTCTCAATCACACAAGCTTGCAATCTAAGAGTCATCAGTAGCTTCTCCCTATAGCTTACTGCAACTGCTACTTGACAAAATGTAAAATTGCTACCACTGGATGATGATGAAGATAATGATGACATTATCCTCCTCCTCGATTTCAATGTTATTTTCCAAATTCAAGCCCTCATTTTGCCTTTTTGAAACAACAAAAATTGCTTTCTAACCACTTTTCCCACCCTCATGCTTCCCATCTCTAGCATTCCTTTTCATCACTGCCACAGTAAGTTTCTTAAAGGGCAGCAATATTGTACATTTTAGCTCGGCTCAAAAGCCCTCAAGGCTCTGCACTGAAAACACAGGGAAAATGCTTGCCAAGACCTTTTAGCCTTTATACGCAAGAATCTTATGAAATCAACTTCTGCTTTGTCTCCCCAGATTCATTTGTACAGTTCTACCTAAAATCCAGACTCCCACAAAATTAGCTCTTGATTTTGTACCTGAACCTTTCACCTTCCGTCATTTATTTTCAAATTCTGCCTATATTTCTCGGCCCAATCTTAAATTTGTCTCCAATTCTTCCCTTCTGCATATGAAAGCTCAATATACTTTCTGCCTTCCCCTAAAACTTATCTGTTTCTTGATCATGTTTTGATTATTTAGAAATATAGCTGATGCATCCAACTCGAGTGTATGTAATCATTGATTTCATAAATATTAAACAATTTTTATAGAATGAAGGCAAACTTCCAAACACAAATCTTCCAAAAATGAAAGTAGTATTTTTCCAGATATGAACAATAATCTCTACCAAAAAGAGATCTATAAGAAACCTAGGTGGCTCAACAAATTTTAAGTATGTATAAAAGGAGATAAGTTAGCAGATACAGAATCAAATAAAAAGGTAAAAAAAAAAAAAATTACTCATAGTAATGTTAAAATACAGAATCAATTTTGCCCATTTCAATCTATGCATGTACCTATCATTTTGAGATACAAATTCATTTTGAGATACAAATTCATAAATATGCACACACTATATCCATCAACTGGAAACAATACACAGTGTCAAAATTTATTGAAATAAGAGCCACAAGGAAATGTTTCCTATTTACCATTTAATAATTTTTGTGATATTTAATAAAAGATTATGTGATGGATTTGTTTGCCTTTTCTAAGGAAACAGCTTTAGAAGATGACTGATGCCTGCTATTGTGGGTCTATCTTTGTATTGCCTTATTTTAGAGGACTTTCAAAAATACTAAAATACACTTAAAGCATTTCCAGTTGTACTAAAAGAAAGATAAAAGGTGATTATTTATAGGCAATTGTATTCATGATGATAGACTCTCAGAAGGCAACGGCAAACATAAATTTTAAATGCTTTTTGGAAAGGGTTGAAAATAAAAACATTTACATAATTTGTTAGAAGCCCTGGCTTTTTATTGCTACACTTCACTATTCCCGCCGGGCAAGGCAGCAGCTACTTCAAAGATGTATTTGATGATGGAATGTTTGATTTCTTTGTTTCCCCTTCGCATGGCGGGTAGGTCTACTGTTCTCACTCTATTGCAATGTGCTGTATCTTACAATTGGAATTGGCTCACTCCTGATAATAAAAAATGGTTTTGTTTTGGCAGATGAAACAAATACACCAATGCTAGCAATAGCATGTAAAATGCACAAATAAGACTGTAATATTACAAAACGGTCTGTCCACTTCTCAGTCACCTTTGAGAATAGACTTGCCACTTTATAAATACAACTAGTGACTAGTAACAAATGTCTAAACTTCCACTTACCTGCCTATCCACTTCTGGGAGCAAAAGCAGGAGGTACTGTTGAAAATGCTGAGGTAAGGAAGCAAACGTATGTTTATTGATTAATGCCCTCAAGTTAGTGTTGACAAGAATAGATCCTGGGGTTTCTATGTCAATGTCCTCAGCTTTGGTCCATTTCAAGTGTCCTGTGATAAAGAGCAAGAGGCATGAATTTACTACGGACTGGAAACACCATGCACGTGTACACACAAATATATGCATATATTGAGCACATATTTAATTCTACCCCTTTTAAGAATGGTATTTCAAAAGGAAATATCCAAAGTTTCTTTGTGTTCCTATTTACCTAAGTTGTCTTTAATTTTCATCATGCATACTTCACTCAATGTGTCCGTATTTTTGTCTCAAAGAAGCCCAGTTCTAGATAAAGAAGTACTTATGGTCTTCCAATCACCAGAATTAAAAAAAAATTTTTTTTTTTAAATGGGGGAGCATAAGTGGTAGCAAGTACAATATTTCTAGATTCTGTAATTCACAGAACAACTAATAATAGTGCTGGGAATTTAATAGAGACACTGGTAGCACTAGTAGTTCTGTGGTCCCCATGTGTCAGGTAGAGCACCAAGCACTGGATTATTTCAGAAGACTCTCATTCAGGGTAGTATGAAAGCAATAATATAAAAAGCAACTTTATAAATATACTAGCTGCATGGTCTGCAACGGCAGTATGCTTTGAAGGATAGTTATATGACACAAGGCACACTGGCCTCCAACGGGAGGCCATATTTAGAGTTCACAAGTGGAAATATTGACACAAGAGAGTAACCTACCACAAGGGATAGTCAGCTGATGCAAAAAACAGAAGAATGTCCACCCTTAGCTACTTGAGTTAAGAGAACCATTTGAATGTGATATTAATGGAGTGTATTTTCAATCATTTGTTGGTAAATTATAGCTTATGAGCTATATCCAGTCCAACTGTTTATATTCCCTAGGTCTACCTCTGCAATACAATTGAGAGCTGAATAGTTGTGACAGAAATCACAGGACTTGCAAAGTCTACTGCACTGTCTCTCTGTCCTCTGATAGAAAATTTGCTGGCCTTTGATTTAAATAACTAGAGACAAAAGAAGGAATAAAAACCATTATGTAAAATAGGACATTATGATAAAAAAAAAAAAAAACATAGACACATTTGAAATATGACTATATAAATGTCTAACAAAATTAGTACTTTAAAAATTTTAAAAACTATTCAATGAACACAGTAGAAGACAGAATCTATATCTATATATATATATGTATATATATATATATAAAAGCCTAAGTGTCCATCCAACTGGTAGCTATGATGCTCAGTGACCACCAGGGGGCAGATGCTCAACATAGGAGGAGCTGCCATGATGTGCACTGGCCATTTAAAAATAAACAGCACCGAGGAGCTCGCACTCACAAGCAACACTTGGCTTCCCCCAAGTGGGACACAGGCCCCAACACCACCCCAGAGTGACACCCCACCAAATCGAAGCTAATGCTGCCAAGAACACATGGGGTAAAATGCGGCCAACAGCCCAGCCCAGCCCAGAAATGGGCCCTGTGGGCGCCGGTTAATGACATCATGTAGCAACACCTAGCTTCCTCTCCCTAGTGACTAGCCTCCTGGCAGTTTCTTCAGTCCAGGATCACAACTTGCTTTGTCGCCAGGTGCTAATACTTTACACTTTAAACAAATGTCTGTGAAGTGTTTTCACGTGCCTCATCTCATTTGCTCCTCACAGAAGTCCTGGAGATAAGAGATTCGGTAGAATCCTAGTTTCTTTTCATTAGCCAGAAAATGAAGATTTAGAAAGCTTAGAAACTTGACCAGACTGAAAAGACCTTGAAAATGTCTTCAGGTTTTCTCATTGCACAGAATAGTCAAACACTGATGAAGTTAAACATTTCACCCTTTATTCTCCCTGTGTGACCTACAATAATAATCTGCTTCATGTTGATATTTACTGCTGTGTTGCTAACAATTACCTGAAAGAGAAGTTGGGGTGCTTCACTGGGCTGGGAAAAGTTTAGCTACATCAGAAAGCAGGCCTAATTAAGCAAGTTTATCAGAAAGCAGGCCTAATTAAGCAAGTTTATCTGTATAGATAAAGCTCCTTTGGATCCTCTCTCAATACAACCTGGTTTGTCCAGGGAGTTGCCACTTTCTGATAAAGATCCTTTGGCACCAATCGCACGCATATGTTTCAATCTGTCATGGTCAATCATGAATTTGGTTGACACTTCTATTATAGAGAAAGGGTGAACAGCGATATTAAAATATTTCTTCTAATTAATTTCCTTTCGATGGGCAGGAATCAGTGCACCGGGAATCTAGTTATTAAATAAAATAAAGAATTGGTGAAAATATCTAGATTACAGCATATAAAATGATGAGAGAGAAAAAAAAACATGATAGAGAATGAAATACAGGGAATGGAATAAGCAGTCTGAGTGCTTATCTGTAGGAGTTTCTGAGTAAAAACACACAGCAGCTGTCAGAGAAGCAATGGTTGAAGAGCTAATGGCTGAAATCTTTAGAATTGAAAAAAAAAAATGACAAGTCCTCAGATAAAGTAAGACTCTAACTCTGAAGGACAAATATCCATGTGATATGTTGAAATCACAAAACAGAAAAAAGAATGTCTTGAACAGTTTTGAACAAAAATAGATTACCTCCAAAGGGATGACAATAAGAGAGAAAGCTTATTCTCAACAGATAACAGATGGCAGTGACGAATCTTCAAAGGGCTGAGAGAAAATAAGTGTCAATCTAGAATTTCATTGAAAACAGTCTCTCCAAATGGCAATGACACAAGAACATTTTCAGTATCCAAAATGGAAACTAACCCTTAGTGAATTTTGCTAAAATAACCAGTAAATATTCTTAACAAATAAAGAAATTAAATCAAAAAAAGAATGAGCGAGTAGCAAAAGCCATGTGTCAACTAAAAAACTAACACAATGGTCAGCAAACGCATTAGACAACAGAGCCAAATATCAACAGTACAATGATTGAAATTACTTTTGAGAGCCCAATTTTTTAAACTTAAACTTCTTCTAACGCCACTTCTTCAAAATATCGACTTGCCCAGGCTGTGGTATTTTGTGGAAGAGCCACACTCAAGGGGCCAAAGAGCCGCATGTGGCTCATTAGCTGCAGTTTGCTAATGTGGACTGAAAGGTCCCAGGTTAGATTCCAGTCAAGGGCATGTACCTTGGTTGCGGGCACATCCCCAGTAGTGGGTGTGCAAGAGGCAGCTGATCAATGATTCTCTCTCATTGATGTTTCTAACTCTCTATCCCTATCTCTTCCTCTCTGTAAAAAATCAATAAAAATGTAATTTAAAATATTTTTTAAAAATTACAATCCAGTTATATGATGCTTCCAAGAGACATATTTAAACTAAAAATCACATGGAATTGATAAAAATGAGAGATAAACTAAGAAATACTAGGTAGAGATTCAAAACAACAATAATAAAAAGCAATGCTAACATATTAACATCAGACAAGACCGTCAAAGGTAAAACAAACACCTTATTGGACATAAAAAAGATAATTTCTTAAGTGTAAAAGAAATAATTCACTGGTAAATATATTGCCCTTAAGCCTGCTTCTATTTAAATAGGATAGCATTCCAAATCTAAAAATTGAGATAATTGAAAAGAGAAATTGGAATGACACAATGCTAGTGGGAAGTCTTAAGATATTTGATTGGAAGTTCCAATATCAGACAAAAAACTTGTCTTAAGAATACAAAGAATATCAGCAACTCAATAATCCATCTTCTACTGATGAATTTAACCTATGGCACTGCACTGAACCCTTCAGAGAAAGCAATGTTTTTGGCAGCACTCAAGGGACAGTAAGAAAACTTACACACACACAAAAAAAACTGACCTGTGAGTCTCAACAAATATTGGAGCATAATATAAAACCTCATCTTTCTTTATATAAAGAAATATAAATAGGTATCAGTAACACGAACACAGCAACTGTTCAGTCCTCACATATTCATTATATGTTTGCACATTCAAAAGCACAATTCTAAATATTTAATAAGTTAAAGGAAAAAAATTTGCAACAAAATTGACAAAATATTTTGATTCTGAATGATAATGTTAAAATTTGTAAATTGAAGCACAATTGGTTTTAAAGGGAAAGTGTATATATTAGAGAGTGGGTAAAATGTTGAAAATTCACATATTAAAGGTACAAATCAAGAAGCTAATGCATGAACCCAAGAATAAAAACTTGAGACAGAAAAAAAATATGAAAAATGTAAAAATTAAGGTAAGGATTCATGAAATAAAAAAGGACAAAATAATTTTTCTTTTATTAGACTAATAAAATAGGCATAATACCTCTAGAAAGAGATAGCATTAATAAACATGGATAGGAATGACAGGTAGGCACATAGTTTGGGATATGCTATAGGTTTACAAGGCAAAAGTAGTTACACAGAGTTAAAAAATACAAATAATACTACAACTTTAGCCAATATCTTTGAAGACCAATGGTTACATGTTTATAAACTTTCAAATTTAACTTAATGATAGAAAACCTGAATACATTTATAAAATCTTTTAAAAAATTAATAAATAGGTAACCCCCAAGCCCACATGCACACAAAGCACTTATCAGAAATAGCTCTAAAGATAAATTTGACCAGGACACTAAGAAATGTTCCCATGACTTCGTATTATACATATCCCAGTAACTAGGTAAGGCAAGAAAGTGCTTTAATTCACTTTATGTAATTGACATAACCTTTATTCCAAAGTAAGGATAAGAGCAGAATGAGAGAAAATTTCTTGGCCAACTCACTTAGAAACACAAAAAGTACAAAAGTTGTATCTATCTTTTTAAAATCTAAAGCAAATCTCATGAACGCCTAATACTTGTTGAGTCACGGTGTGGATGCATACATATCTGCTTCATTAGCTTCGGTATTTTTCTATACATTTGAAGTACTTGACAATTAAAACAAAATGGCAAGAGGGAGAGAACAGGGAAGAAGCTTCTTACCTTTATCAGAGGCAAAGGTAAAATCTAGAGACAGAAATGTTGGAAACATAGGGAAGGAATTTGCTTGTTTTTTTATGTGGTACAGATTCTCAATATTCTCCATCTTACTTACCAACAGTAA